ATAGAAAAAGGATCACTGGAGGAGTTCGATGGCCTGTTTTCAGCGATGGAAAAGAGTGGTACTGCTCTAGACTCACGAATGTTAAATGCTCTAGTTAGGAGGTTGTTTCATATAGGTGACATAAGCAGGGCTGGGCCCTACCTCTCCAAACTTGATGAGAAGAACTTCTCACTTGAGGCTTCCACTACTTCCATGCTTATATTACTTTTCTCGAGGGAGGAATATAAGCACCATGCAAAGTCCCTGCCTGAAAAGTATCGTTTCTTCAATGATGCCAACAAATGAGTGTTCAAAAGAAAAGAGTTCAGTTTTTTGGGCCATGCTCTGTGGTGTGCTTTGAATGATGAAATTATTTAGATAAATATTCTCTCATGACCATATCATGAGTCACTGAAAAATATAAGTATGTACACTTGTTATGGTTTGGTACCCCAAAATTTCAATGCTACCCTAGTGGCCTGGTGTTCTGTATGCAAATACATCTTTACTTTATATTCTCTTACCGAAGAATCTGCTAAATATTCTCTTGCTTACAAATTGAGCTGACATTAAAAAAAATTGTATTCTGGAAACTGCTGTGTTCATTTAGGTTTTAGTTTGCCCTACACCATTTTTGTCTGATTCTATCCAGTCCTTTGATTTTCTTCCATATATTGAACCTCATGTGGCAATAATGGGTGATGCCTGTTGGAAGAGGATATTTATCTCATGAGTGATACAAGTGACACACACTAGGAGGTTGGTATTATAATCTACTTGCCAGCATCAGATGCTCTCCAAAGGAAGGAAATTACAGAGGAGTTCTTCAATTACAGGAGCCTGACACAAGCAAATCTCGGATGATTATTCTGCATATGAACACTGTGCCAAAATTGAGGTACCAATTTCTACTGCTAGTTTCAAGATTTTTTTTCAGACACTTTCTGTTCTTGCCTAGACATCTTTTAACACATGAATGAAAATAGCATCAGTCTGGTTACTTTCAAAAGGTATGACCTCGTCACTTGCACGAATACCTGGCTGAACTCTTTACATCTGGATAAATTTCATGCCTGGTTAGCAGATAGAAGCTGGCTAGCTGATCAATCCAACTACCGAAACATCAATTTCAGTTTACAGTTGAAGCTGGCTAGCAGATAGATCCATTGTCCCTTATTTTCAATTTTAAGTCTATTGCTTTGCTACGCAGACTTCAGACAATGTAATGTACAAGTATGCACTATGTGAAGTACACTTGATAACTCCATATTAAAATTTTACATTAACTGCTTGCTAACAATCTTCTGTTCTAGTGTTCCAGTGGTGGTGGAAAAGAACATAACTATAATTTGTAAGCATAGTTTCAGCAGTTTCTTCATTTTAGATTGACAGAGCTTATTAAGTACAAATGGTCACCTTCATAATATCCAAAAATTCACTTCTATATTTGATATATATGCGGTGAGTTAAGGATGCCTTGCATTTCCTATCTGCACAGATTGATGCACTTAGCACTGGAAAATGGGTAGCAGCTAGAATCTAATATGGTAGCAATAATTAAGTAGTACCTTGGAAGAGAGTACAGCTCCTGTGAGTTTTGCCCGAATGAATCATGCTAAAATTTCAGAGACTAAAATTTCACTGATATTATAAAGGAAATGACAGACTAAAATTTCACTTTGAAGTAAACTTTTGATGGAATATTTATAATCTCACAACAGTCTCTGCAAGTATGACCCAAGATGATGAAAAGTCTGAACATCTTGCTGCCATGAAATGTTTCAAGAAGATGTTTTTCCTGAAAGCATATAAGTATGTATACTCTTTCCCTTCCTGTTTCCTGAAAGCATATAAGCACATAAGTTTGAACATTTTGGGTCAGTGTCATTTTGTGGATGACGCCTTTCCTGTTTTGATGTTATATGCGTGATAGCTGGTTGTTGTTAATTAGCTAAGATCTCAGATGATCTTGTTTCTTGCAGTTATGACTACCTTGTGGAGCAGAAGATCAATATGAGGAACATATTACCTATCTAGCAAGCTGTTGTTGTGATCATGTCTCAGGTCATGATTCCTTGTAATGTTGGCCATGATACTCTGTAACTATGAGACCTGTCAGCTGTTGTTCTGTGAAACCGGCAGACCAATTATATAGTTCTTTGATTATAGACCAGTTGCTTGATTCTAGACTTGTGGTCTGTACATTTTTTCTCAAGTGTGAACTCTTTTCTTGCAGTGTGAACTGATGTTGCTGAGTGCAAGCTGCTGCCGTGGGTGTGAACTAGATGCTTGTATGAAATGGTAAACTAGTATGAACATGCTGCTTGTATGAACCGGAGAACTGCTACTGAGAATATGTGTTATCCTTCATAGTACGTATTAACTGTACAATGATCCTATGGAGCTGCAAGAACCAGTTCCACCGATCAATGGAATGGTGACTTCAGATTTGTCGCTCAAAATAAAGCAGAGAAAACAAATTGGTGATTCAATCTGTAGCAGCAGCAGCAAACTACAACTTTACTGACTATATTTTTTAAATCCTACTGCCTCTATTCCAAAAAGAATTCATTCTAGGTTTAAACTAACTCAAAATTTTCTTGAAGTTGACTAGGTTTATCAAAAATATTATCAATATTTATATCTCTAAATATTTTTATTATAAAAATATACTCCATAATTCATCTAATGATACTTATTACGCATTAAAAGTATCAGTACATTTTTGTTTGTATGTATCCTTTTTAGAACAGAGTGAGTTACCTCCAAGTGTGCTGCACTTAGCTATGGAAGCAAATCATGTTCTTGGTACAATAGCCCAAATAAACTTAACGTGTGTTCTCCATGACCTCATAAAAAATTAATTGAACCTAATAAATAGCGACCAAATGAACTTAACATGTGTTCTCCAAGAGTAAAATTAATTGAACCTAATAAACACCACTCATCCACTCCTGGCAACCTGCTCGCTAAACTCGGTTTGAAGTTAAGTCTCAAACAATTCAGGAGACGTAGTTGACTTTCTAAATAAGATTGTGTTAACTTTGAAAAAAAATCCTAAGAAATGTAGTTGAGTTGTTACTCACCTTTGGACGGCTCCCACCCTAAAGTGGCGTGGGGAGAAAGAATAGAGATGGGTCCCATCATGAAGCCTCGAGTTCCATCCAAAAGAGGGGAGTTTGCTAGTAGAGATCCTGGGGCTAGGAATGTTTGCGTCTCCCTGCTAGCCACCACACTCAAGTCACACATAAATTCATCTCAATCCATATGTATTAGAGTGAATTACGGTGGAACTTAGTTTAATTTCCACCACAATCCACTCTAACACGTGTGTATTGTTATAAATGCATATGTATCAAACAAGCCCTCGTAACGCCTGCACGGGTGGTGTCGTAACAACCACCTCAACACCGACACTATGCTTCCTCGACTACCTCAGCAGACACAACCTCACGCTCCACCTCCTTTCCTCCTCGTCGTCAAGGCCGGGGCTTAGACTACGCAGGTGACTCTTGCCCACCACGTTCGTCCTCGCTCGCAGTAGCAGCCATGGTCACCATTCTCGGAGGACGTTTACTTGGCACAGTTCAGCTTCACTAATGAAGCAGCCTTTTTTGATTTAGCTCCACGAGCAACTCTAGCAGCCACGGTCACCATTCTCGGAGGACGCGTAGATAGAGAGTAGCGGCAACGTCTTTTTCCTCATAGCGGCACTAGTGTTTGAGGTTTCATTAGGTGGAGAGTAATGGAAAAGTGATTAAATCTAAGGCTTTACTTGGCACAGTTCAGCTTCATTAATGAAGCAGCCTTTTTTGATTTAGCTCCACGAGCAACTCTAGCAGCCACGGTCACCATTCTCGGAGGACGCGTAGATAGAGAGTAGCGGCAACGTCTTTTTCCTCATAGCGGCACTAGTGTTTGAGGTTTCATTAGGCGGAGAGTAATGGAAAAGTGATTAAATCTAAGGCTTTACTTGGCACGGTTCAGCTTCACTAATGAAGCAGTCTTTTTTGGATTTAGCTCCACGAGCAACTCTATTGGTGAGCTAAAACTATTTGATGAACCGTTTAGCAAAAACAACTTCATATGATAGATAAAAAAGATTAAATATTCAAAATATCCTAGCTTTATTGTCCTCCTCTCCTATTTCTCCCACTTCTCTCTCGACGCCTCACGTTCTTCTCCGATAACGGCGCCCGGCGGCTGCTCACTCGCGCTCCCGTGGCCAAGGCTGCGCATCCTGGCGACCGAGCCCACGCATGCCCTGGTGGCCCAGCTGAGTGGCTCTACGACGACGCGCCTTTATCCTCCCCGCGGAGCAAATCTGACTTCGACACATGATGGGGCTCGTTAGTGCAAGATGAAGCTCATTTGCAAAAGACTTGTTTGGCACAAAACAACTGCAAAACAACTCGTAAAGCTAATGGAGAAGCTGAAAAAAAAAGGTCTAGAGAAAATAAGAGAAAAGGCATTTTAGCGTGTGCACGCTATTTCCAATTGCAAGATAGCAAACGGGAAAGCCCAAAGTTCAATAATGGTAAAATCTTAATTTTTCCTTTTTTTACGTTCAATGACAGAGACCTCGTGTGCATAAAACCTACCCCTGGCTTCCGCTCCAACTCTCAAAACAATCTCGCGGCGAGCACTTCGTTCCAAGCCTTCGTTCGACGCCGCCGAACCATCGCGAGGTGAGTTCGTCTTCCCAAACCCCGGTCTCTCTCGCCGCTTCGGTGTTTCCTCTTCCGATCCGTCGGAAAGCTTGCTCCTTTCGTTTACCGCGATCGTGGAAAGTGAAGGAATAAGAGAGAGATATACCCTAATAAATCTTGTTCTCACGTAAGCAAGATTTATTTATTAGGGTATCTCATTTGACATTCTGGACCATGCAGTTGTTTTCTTATGCGGTTCTGATCTATGCAGCCTTCATTGTTTCGCATTGCAAAATTAGATTTATCGACACTCAACTATCATATATCTCAATTGCAGAGGAATAATTCCTGGACCGGAAGAGCCGCAGAGCCATGGGCAACTGCTGTGTCGCTGGTGCTTGTAAGATCTTTTTTTTTTTTTTTTTTTCTATCTTATTCTACACATCTCTGTTCTAGTTTGTAGTTCTTCATAGTCATGTTTGGCTGATAGCAATGCACATTGCGGCTGCGCCAATGGATGGATCGTCACGGGCAACTTAACTCACTATGGCCTTTGCTCTATTTGGAATTCTTTTCTATGAGTGTTTATAGTTTAGTTTAAATCTTCCATGCTGTTCTCCCATTCACTGTTTCACAATCAGTCCCGGGGCTGGACCTGACCTGACCTCCAATATAATGTGGCTGACACCTTGTTCTCCAGCGTCAGACATGGCAACGTTTAAGTGGAGCATCGACAACTTTTCCTCCCTTCTTGACAAGGGTGAAGGATGGACAAACTCTAGAGTGTTTAAGATCATGGGCCATGCCTGGTATGGATTGCAGTTGCAGCTATCCTTTTCGACTCTTCATTTTGTTGCATCACTTAGTTCCTACAACTAGAGCTGCTCCATATATATAGTTTGGTTCATATCCTGGTCTGTCATGACTTCTTTGCAGGCACTTGAAACTGAATCCAATGGACAGAAACAGCTGTGATGAAGAGTGTGTCTCCCTCAGGCTTCAGCTGTCTAAAACTTCAGTGGAACCCAACACTATCGTTGACGCATCTTTCAGATTGATCATATATGATCAGTTATATGGAAAGGATAGTGAACATCACGGTAAAGTAGCAGACTGCACCTGGGAAAAAAATTACCAGAATGTTTTAAACTTGGCTCCATACCTTCCTATTTCCTAGTAAGATTTCCCAGCCATTACTTGTTTCGATGAATTGCTATACTTTGTTGTGCAGTGAGCCATACTTTCCAGACTGCAAGCACAAGTTCTGGCAAGTCATGCATGATTAAGCTTGCGGCACTGAAGAATTCATCTGGATTCCTCGTCAATAACAACTGCGTCTTTGGTGTCAAGTTCATTAAAGTTGTCACCACAAAAGCAAAGACGACATCAGAGAAACTCTTTGTCAAGAATGCGAGCACCTTGCCTGAGGCCAAAGCTGCTTACACCTGGTGCATTGCGGACTTCTTTGGAATGGAGAACCCAGGGTACTCCCCGGAGTTCACAGCTGGTGGATACAAATGGTAGGGTGATTTCATCTGGATTTCCTTGCCTTCATTCAAAACATGGTTTAAATGCCACTCGGTGCATTTGATCACTAGAGATTAGTCGGAGTTGCACTCATTTATGCACGATCGGTTCCATTGCGGGGCTTTACATTAATTCTCCAATCTTGCAGGTCGATTCGCCTCGATAAAGAAGAAAACCACATCTCCTTGTACCTGAAGAAGATGATAAATGATCTCCCCGAAGACTCTGCCGTCCTGGTTGAATTCACCTTATCCATCAAAAACCAGGAAGGTGGCAAGCATTTGAAAAAAAAAGGTTTGCTATTTAGTACAAATTTGCTCAATGGATAGGTCTCCGGATGCTAAATTGTATTTAAACCCTTCTTTTGCTGTTGGGAATTGCAGGCCTGACCCAGTTCTCAAACAATGATCCAACCTGGGGATGGGAGAAGGTTGTTTCGATGGAGGATATTCAGGACTCATCAAATGGTTATCTCATCAAAACCAAGTGCTGCATTGAGGCTGAGGTCACAACCGTTGGCTCCTCCAAGATGAAGTAGTTTCGGTAATTGTATCTAGTTGTGCCAAAAAATTACTTATCTCAAAAAATAGGCCCTTCATTCATTTTGTCAAGGACACCAAATGTTCATGCTTCTTGCATTTGGATGGGATCTTAATTTTGCTAAAATATGCAGCTGAGCGATTTTTGCAGCAGTCGTTGCTATCGAATTTTGTTAGCTCTGTTTCTCTTCTGAACAACACATTAGTTGATACTCCTACTCGAAGTAATCTACTATGTTACTGAAAGTTACAAAAAGAGCTTAATTTTGTCGGTACTGAAAGTTTCACAGTATAAGAGTAGTTGCGACTACAAACATCTCCCATTAACATCATCAGTTGGTACTTGGTAGAAATACCACTTAAATCAGATTTAGCTTATGCGTTCAAAAAAAAAAAATCAGAGATTGTTTAAGATATATGGCACAGTAAACTCGCCAACAATTGCACAGATTTACAGTACACTGGTCAAAAGATGCATCACATACTACATTAAGAAGGGAACATAAAGAAGTCTTACAACGCGATTGCTCAATCCTATACTCATCGTGATCATACAAAAATACCACCACAGAAAAATACTGTGACCTCTACCTAAATTCAACAAAAGCAACACACCGTGAAAGATTGATCATGCCATCATCATCAACTAACAGGCATCTTCTCAAAACAAGAATGGAGCAACAAAACTCTGACATGTTTAAGACTGAAGTATGTGCAGTGTCACTGCACCAACAGATAACTTTCTGGCCATGACCCTAGAGAGACGTAATCACAGAGGTTTTTATCCACACATACGCTCATCAAACATGTAGAGCAACAGTTTTGGATATATAGTTACAAATGATTCATTCGCCATATGGATACTACAAGGAGTATTATATAGCAGCACTAGTTTATACAACAATCATTCTAGGTGAGTTTAACAGCCAGCCTACTACATTACTTGACACTCAAATATAGTTGACATCAGAAATTTGTATAGATCTTAAACAAAAACTCTTGCTTTGTAGTACAATAAAAATAAATTCCTTATACTCAAATATGATTGAAATTGGAATTTTTTTACCTAGTTTTGGGATGAGATAAAATGGAGATAATGGCATGCTGTTAGTATATTGGATAAAATTTGAGTGAAAGGAAAAACGAAAATCACTTGGGTATACAGTCCATTCTTTATTTTTTTCCCTTCCGGACAATGATGTCTTGGACAATGAAAACCACTTTTTTTATTAGAATATAAATGAACATCCTAATGAATTTATGTTTTTATGAAAGTTATTTTTTCATGGAAAACCTATGCATATGATATTCAAGTTCCTAAAATAAATAATTAAAAGTTTATTATTAATAAGCAAAGTTATAAAAGTTTGACTCAAACACCAAAACATCATACCATACAATTTGCTCCTGTTCCAATTACTTCTTACTAAATTATCTTTTGTTAGAATATAACACTTTTTTAAGAAACCACAAAAAATGATTTCAAATTGTTCTTTATAGATTTATTGAAAAAACTATTATTTTAGTCCCTTCCTACGTGTAATTAAATGTTTGCAAAATTTGTTACTATGTGCTATCAATTTATTGCCTAGTAATGCTATTCTAAAGAAAACATTAAGCAGTGTAGTGTCAAGAGTTGTTGCAATAGCAGTTTGTTTTTGCTGAACTATATTATATATTATACAAATTAGGATATTGGGTCTTAAGATGACTGTTGTTGAAGCCATTTTAAAAGATGAACTTGTTAGAGGTACCATACTGAAAAATCAAAAAACATATTTATAAGTACAAAACAAGTCGTGATAAATAAACCAGAGAAACATGGAAAGGAAAATTCCAAAACTATTCACAATAATAAACTGCCCTTTTGCTTGTTACTTGTGTGTTGGTTAAATAGCTTCGCTAGCTAGCGGTTTGTTTGGTACGGATGTAGTTTTTTTTTTTTGGGGGGTTCCTAAAGGATATTAAGGTCTTATTTGGCACATTTTCAAATGGTTCCAGTTTTTTTTATGGTAGTGAAGGAGAGGAGCCGGTAAAGTAAAAAAAATAGTGATTTATTGACTTTTAATTTATTTCGAGAGAAGAGTGAAAAATAGTTCTTCGTTATAGTGCATGACAAGTGGAACCATCTAGAGTTCTACCAAACAAGACCTGGATTCTAATTATGAGGTGAATAAGACTTCCCCCTAATTTCTAAAAAAACTTTAGCAACGTCTGATTTCAAAATCATCTAGTAATAGAGATTCTCCGGTTTCTCTTCCGAACTTATATTTTTTAACATTATTAGTCTTAAGAATTATATTACCATCACATCATACCATTTTTTAGGGTATGTATCGGTGGCAGCGCTCTCTCTCGTGCTAGCCTTCTTCCTTCTCCTCGCGACCCTTCTTCCTCGCACCCCACTTGCGCCTTCCTCCTCCTCGCGCCCCACCCTCACCTGCCTCAGGGGCGGTGGGGGGTACGACCCCGGATACCCACGACAGACTACATGGGTTGCTACCGCCAGGCGGTCCAAATTTCACAAGACGCGAGCTTTACGCGCAGTGCTTGCTCGGAGTGTAATGTAAGGCATCAAGGGCGATATCTTGAAGATGCTACGAGATTTGTTAGGATATGTTCGATCGTATGATTTCTGTAATATGTTATTACTTACCGGTTATCTCCTAAATCTAACCAACTTGTAACCCTACCCCTAGCTCTATAAGGCGGGTAGGGACCTCCTCAAAACACACGCAATATCATACGATAGCCAATACAAATCAATAGACCACAGGAGTAGGGTATTATGTCGCGTTGATGGCCCGAACATGTCTAACTCTTGTGTTTATGTTACCTTCTTGCTCTAGATTACGCGCATCTCTGCTGATCAATCTACCTTCGTGGGATACCTCTCGGAGGACTGCCGACGATATTCTATCGACAATTGGCGCGCCAGGATAGGGGTGTGCGTGTTGTTTCCATGATGAACAAGATGGTATGATTTGCAGGCTCTTTGTCCTCTCCGAAGCCCGACTAGATCTTCATGGTCGGATCGATCTCCTGGTCATCAATGCTGACGATGAGGCAAAGAGATCATCGAGCCGGTGCAGATCGATTCTACGCCGACCACACTATCACCTACAACAGCAGATCCAATCTTGGAACCGCCTCTGAGATCGTCTTCACCAACAACTCACCGCCTGCTCCCCCGCTATCCGAGGAAGCAGATCGACAACGATGATCAAATCATGTTCATCGATCAGGTTGGCCAGAAGCTCGCCGATTGCCTCTTCATCATAGAATCGGCTCTGACCACTCTGGTTCAACACCAACCACCCTCCGATTTTGATCTATTGGAGGCTGATCAGGAAACTCCAGGGGTTACGGCCGCCACCCATCAGGACGCCCTAAGGGGTAAATTCGCCGACCAGGTGGGAGACATCTATCCTCTCGCCGAATCGATCATCGACTAGCTCTCGCCAATTGTCAATATGCTGTAAATCGGCCGACGTCTCGAAGCATCCCTCCACACCATCCTGGATGAAAACCCAGACTCCGAGTCCCAGGGCTCTATGGAGACTGTCGCTGAAACCGCCGCCGTCCAACCTCATTTCCCACCATTCCGTGGACATGGGATTTTTAATGTCAGCGTTGATAGCCCTCCGCGGGATGGAGAAACCGATGAGGACCGCGCAACTCGTGTTAACAGAACGCCAACCATGCGCAGCGCCGAAGCAAATGAGGCCGCCATTGTGCTAGTGGAGGTTGCTCGCAATGGAGAACAGCTTGACTCGCAAGGGAGGCCACGCCCACTCCGCCACAACCTCGACAATGAATTCGTCCGTGATGACGGCCACGATGTCTATAAGACCCCAAGCGCCAACTTGGCCGTGGCCGCTAATGAGCTCGCTCGGCTCGAGCAAACGCCAGAGGTCGCCAAGGTCGCCGCAATGCTTAAAGTTGCGCACTACCAGGTCAACGAGATCCGCCAGGATCAGGGGCCTTCCTACTCGACAAGCTTGAATCGCCGATCTACCGCGCCAAGATCCAATCGCCACCCCGGTAGAAGCCGTTTCGCCGACCAGCATCGTGATGATGGACGACCCCTCTAGGGGAGCTAGGGGCAACCGTATCGACTACCCTCGCCAACATGACCAATAAGTCGACCAAAATGTCCGAGAACACATCAACAACCTCCGGGATGCACGACGTCATATTGACGGACGTGCCGTTTCTCTTGGCATGAAGAGGAAGTACGCCGGCGTCAAGAATATGAGCAAGAATTCAGTAATCCGGATGCGGCCCTCCACCACTTTAATGCCGGCAACGCCGGCGATCCTAACGGTGACGATCCCGAAGGGCCCCGAGCATTCATAAGAGCACTCCGAACACTCCAGTGGCCCCGTGGTTTCAAAATCACTAGGGTCGAGCCCTACGAGGGGCGGATGAACCCCACACAGTGGTTACAAGATTATGCCACTGATGTGTGCGCCGCCAGGGGAGATACTAGTGTCATGGCAAACTATCTTCCCGTTATGCTCATGCCAACCGCAATGAACTGGCCCATGAGCCTCGCACTGAATTCCATTGGATCTTGGGAACAATTGAAAAAGGTCTTCACCGACAACTATATGGCTACGTGTACTCGGTCGGGCACCAAGCACGATCTAAATCGTATTTATTAGAAATCGTCCGAGCTCCTCCATAGCTACATCAGACGTTTTTTCGAGATAAGGAATTCTATCACCAACATCACGGAAGCAGAAGTCATCACCGCCTTTGTCCGAGGACTCCATCATCGTGACCTCAGCTCCAAATTCAATCGTAAGCCGCCAAAGGGGATTGGCGAGATGATCACGACCGCCGATCAGTACGCCGACGCTGAAGAGGCCGAAGTTCTCTTCAACGAGGATCGCGGGCATTCACCGCCCAACTCACCGCAGCGATGAGCGCCTCGATGAACAACGCCACAGTGACCGCCGACGACGATCGCGACCACCATCAGGACAGTGGCCGTGATCGGTCGGAAGGGTCCAGAGCTAGTCAATATCGCCGCCGCCAACTAAACAACATCGTCACCACCGTTGATGAACCTCGCGCTAAATGCAACTACGACGAGCAGTACAAGAAAATCCTCGAAGGCCCGTGCCCCCTCCACAAGAACAGCAAACACAAGATGAAGGACTGCCTTGGCTTGGCTAAGGAGTTCCAGACCAAGAAGAAGGACGATGACAACGACGACGGAGCCAGAGGTCGCCGACCACCTGGGGACAACAACAACCCCTTCCAAGATCACGACAAAGTGGTCGCCACTATCTTCGGGGGCCTCGCCGTCGTCGAGAGCAGAAGAGATCGAAAGCTCACCGCTCGCCGTCAGCACAGAGGACGCTATCGCCAACCCCAGCTATCGCCCCTGGTCTGAGGTCCCCATCACCTTCAGTAGGGCTGACCAGTGGGTGGACATCCCTTACAGAACGTTTTCCCCTCGTTCTCGATGCAACCGTCAAGAAAAGTACTCTTCAGGAAAGTACTCGTCGACGACGGAAGTGCTCTGAACCTCCTCTTCGCCGGAGCCCTAAAGGAGCTGGGCGTTGTAATAGAAGACCTAACTGCCTCTGACTCCCCCTTCTGGGGGTGGTACCTGGCAGGGCATCCAAACCGCTTGGAGAGATCACCCTCCTGGTACAATTCAGCACGGCTAGCAACTTCCGTGTCGAGCACATCAACATCTACATCGCCGACTTCAACACCGCCTACCACACCATACTTGGTCGGCCAGCTCTGGCCAAGTTCATGGCCATACTGCACTACGCCTATCTGGTATTGAAGATGCCTTCGCCTGCAGGAGTTCTGGCTTTGCGGGCCAACCTCTCCGTCGCCTACGCCTACGAAATAGAGAGTCTCTCCCTCGCCGAAGCCACCGACCTCTCCATCCAGATGGCCAGCATGGTCAACGACGCCAAGACGGTGCCCGCTGACAACCTGGAGATCCCAGCGTTGGAGCCTCCTCATGCCTCCGCCAAGTCTAAGGAAACAAAGGAGGTCGGCCTCAGCCTCGACAACCCCACCAAGACCGTCAAGATTAGGGTTCATCTCGACCTCAAATAGGAAAGCGTGCTCGTCTCCTTCCTACGTGCCAACGCCGACGTATTTGCTTGGAAACCTGCAGACATGCCGGGGGTACCACGGGAGAAGATCGAGCACTCCTTGAATGTCTCGTCGATCACCAAGCCGATCAAGCAGAAACTCCAACGATTTGTGCTAGACAAGAAGGAGGCTATTAGGGTAGAAATAAAATGGCTCCTAGCAGCCGGATTTATTAAAGAAGTGTATCATCCTGAGTGGCTAGCAAATCTAGTTCTCGTTCAAAAAAGAATAAAGAATGGGGAATGTGCGTTGATTACACTGATCTTAACAAACACTGCCTTAAAGACCCCTTCGGTCTGCCTCGGATAGACGAGGTTGTAGACTCCACCGCCGGCTGTAAACTCCTCTCCTTCCTCGACTGTTACTCCGGCTATCACCAGATATCTCTCAAAGAGGACGACCAGATCAAAACATCATTCATCAGTCTTTCGGCCATGCCCTCCTCCTCGTCCTCGTCCTCGCCCTGCCGTTGCCTACTGCCCTGTCGTGGCCCACTAGGGTTTCACTTGAGCTCCATGGGCGAAACCCTAGCGCGCTCATGACGGCCGCCTTCCTCCCCTCCCCCTCCTTCTTCCATGGCGAGCTCTAGCCATGGACGCCCTGCCCCAACCTAGCCCGCCCGCCTCCGCCGCTTCCGCGACACTAAGCCACACTCCCTCCCACCGAACCCCCTTCTAAGCCCGCCGGAGTTGAGAAAGAAGAGTGGGCTGCCCGCCAAAACCCTAGATGTCGCCGGAGTTGAGGAGGAAGAGCGTGGGGAGGTAGGTGACCGATGAAAAAAGCAAATTTTTAGACGAATGCAAAGGAGTAATTTTGTTTTTTTAGTGCCAACCTATTATTCCATTCATTTCATCATCGTTAAGAAGAGTGAGATTCCCCCTTGTACCCAGTACCCACCTAAAACCCCAGCCCACCCAACCCAATAGCGAAAATGGATCTAAACCAGTTCGTCCCCTCCCAGCAATCGGCGCTGACCATGGACTCGGCGGAGAGCACGGCCGCCGCCGCCGCGCGCGCGCCCAACGGCGCCGCCCGGGCCATCGACGACCACGACGACGACCACGACGCCGTTCCCGAGGTGTCCGCCTGCATATCGACGATGCTCGACCGCGGGGGCAGCGTGGAGAGCCACCGCCTCTTCCTGGCGCGCCGCACCGCGCTGGAGATGCTCCGCGACCGCGGGTACGTCGTCCCGGAGGACGAGCTCGCCCGCACCCTACCGGAGTTCCGCGCCTGGTGGGAAGACAAGCCGGAGCTCGAACGCCTCGCCTTCTCCACTACCCTCGCCTCCGACCCATCCAGCAAGGTGGGTTTTTTTTCTTCTTCTTCTTTTCAGTTAGTTTTTACCCTCATGGTATCATACTATCATCGTCGGTGAGGCTTCAGATGTTCTTGCATTAGGGTTAGATTCGTGTTCTAGCGCACGATTTCAACCTGCATTCGGGTCCTGCTCCATCAGGTCTGGCTTTATACTTCTGATTTAAGGAACCTCCCACAATTGATTCTTGTTACTCATTAGTGCACTAGAACCCGATTGTGCTCAGTTATGCATTGTTCCGTGGAGGTACTGCGAAATTGAAGAGTTTAGGAGAAGAGGCACATCGGCTCTTTCCTACCCTTTCTCACTGATTCACCCTTGCTGTTTGCTGATGTTAGGTGTGGTTGCCCGTATTGTTTAGGGACATTATTATTCTTGCGCTTATGATTGTCAGGGTTGGCACCATCCTGCAACTGGGATGGTATCAACTTAATTTGTTATGTATGTATCTACAAAAGTTAAATGATTGCGTGCATAGGTATAGTAGGGGTACTTTTATCTGTTGTCTTTTCATGCATATAAGGTGCTTGTTTATACCAATTGTTCTTGCCATAAGTGAAGTGAGTAAAGGATGTGTCTCAACTATGTGTTATGCAGGTGAAAGTTGTGTTCTGTCCACCCGAACCTGTCAAACTCGCAGCTATCCGGGTGGTATATACCGGAGTTAAAGACGAGAACTTGTCCAGACTAATTCTGATCCTGCAGGGCAGAATAATGTCTAAAGCCAGAGAATCTATCAAGGAGATCTTTCCATATAAAGTTGACATGTTCCAGGTCAGTTTTTGTCTAATCTGTTGGCTGTTCTTCACATTTTGTTCTCTCTCTTTAAGGGAGTGACAACATGGACTCTTTGGGTTGTAACTACAATGCCCAATCTGAATTTTCACTATGTGTTCTGCAAATTATGATCTTGACATCAAGTGTTAATTCAGAAGATAATGTAAAGTTGATATTTTGCTGTTTTATCTTGTATTTATTCCTGTATTCATATCAATGCGCTCTTCCAATGGTAGATCACAGAATTACTGGTGAACATCACTAAGCATGCCCTCAAGCCCAAGCATCAAGTGTTGACTGCAGAGGAGAAAGCCAAGCTCCTGAAGGAGTACAATGTGGTGGATTCACAGGTTGCTCCTCTATAATTTGTTGAAGTTACTTAATGATGATTTCTTACTGCTTTTATTATACTGGAATTGGAAGTCATGGTGCCATGTGAATTTTGTTAGCCTTCTTTTGTTACATCTTGTGGAAAACAGCAATGCAGCATGGTGATTGCTGTCGGTTGTTGCTTTTCATCATACTTGCTAAGCTGCTGTAACACCATGATTTCAGCACTCGATTTTGTTTGCAACATGATCATGGCCATATCGGATACTGAAGTCTCTTAGTGTTTCTGGGTGTGATGATTGACATTGCCGATAACTTATGATATTACCCTGCTGCATGCACTGGTCACATGGAAATATTGAGTGTAATTCAGTGAATTCCATCATTTATATTGTGCTTACAATGCTGTTGTGTTTATGCGTGTCTCACTAAAATGCAACTTGGTGGCATTGAAACTGATGATCCTCCCATATTTTCATAGTGGAGCACTGTTATCACATTATAAAGAAAAATAATAATTGCAGTGTCAAGTTTATTTCACCTTCTGTTTATGTGTGTTCTAATTATATATTGCTGCCTCCTTACATAATGATATGCAACTCAGAAAATAAAAATATGCTTGTAGTTGTGGAGGGGATACTGCATTTCATTTATTTTGGCTAGTTTATTCTTGACATGCCTCAGGTGCAATTCCCACTTGTTATTAGCTTGTTGGTGCTTCCCTTGGTTATTTCTTTTGATGGAGCTAGCCCTACTTGTGGCTAAATAATTTCATGTCACTTCACTGAAACTGGTGCTTGTATCTTTCAGTTGCCTCGCATGCTGGAGAATGATGCTGTTGCTCGCTATTACGGACTAGGCAAGGGAACTGTTGTTAAAGTTATATATGACAGCGAGCTTACCGGGAACCATGTGACATACCGATGTATTTTCTGAGGGGCCCATGCATTTCGGTGGATGAAGAGTCTCATAAGCAGTTTGTAAAAATTACCTCTCAGAGGGGCAGGTGATACTGTTCTGCTAGGCCAGTGTAAACTCCTAATTATGTAGGATGGAGCTTTGCTGTAAGCTATTGGTAAAACCATCTTGTGCCAAGTTACTATGTCACTACAAATTGCCGTACCTAAGTGCTGGTCTTAAGCTTGGAAGCAGTAAGACAACTAATTCTGTAGTAAGTTATCTCTGTCACTTTCAGTTGTCTCTGATGGCCTGCTAGGCTGTTATCATAGCTGTCCTCTTATATAAATATAACTGAAATGTGTTGCAAAATCACTTGATTCGAATCAAGCAGTATCCAGTTATAGGATTCTTTTATATTTTGCAAATCAGTGGCAAACATCTGTGTTACAAATCAGTAGGCCAAAGGCTAAGTAAAAGAAAGAACAAAGAGAAGGGGAGGAAAAAAGGAAAAAGAGGGGGGTTAATTGTCCTATTATCAGTCTGCAGCTAACTGTGCCTTGGTCTGTTTTTCTGGGGCAAAATTTCTCCGTTGTCCTCTGCCTTTCGCTTTCCTGTGCTATCGCTGCTGCTCTTGTTCGTGGGGTTACTGCAATCGTTGCTGTTGCTGTCACTCTGCTGGTGCTGTTGTTCCTGCTGGTAGTGGTCCCTGCATCTGCTTTTCAGTATGTGGGGCTTGAGCTTGCTCATGTCTGATAGCCGCACTGGTTTTAGGAAAAACTCGTCCGCTCCTTCCTCCAGGCATCTGATTCAAAATACAATTGAGAAGTGAGTCAGTGATTTCTATACTTTTGTTTTTACCTAAATCTGATCTCAACTAAGAATATATCTTTTTTTTTTACTTTTTTGTGTTTTTATCTTTAATGTACACTTGTCCATTCACAAACATCATATCTTTTGATTCTTTATTTGACTTCTTTTCTGCCGTCTGAGTGTTAATAAAACTTTCCTCAGTTTGTGCACCGTGCGAGTAGACAGGAATAAACCGGGACAAAAACGAGTGGTGCTTGCTAGTGAGCTGTCTGCATCAAGAAGCATGTTTCATGGATACGGCAATATGGAAGGAAGATCTACAAGATCGATTCCATATCTTCTCTCTTTTTTTGTTGGTTATTATTTGACAGCAAACATGTCAAGATTATGCTAAGCCGGTGTGAGCTGTGTCATGGGTGGGGCGGTTCCTCTATTATACAACATGTGGCACCAAAACATTAAGGATTCGGAGAGATTTCCATATCCAGTTTGGTCCAAGCCTATTCATTTGTGTCTCCATAGAGATAGAAAAAAGGAACTTTATTAGCTCTCTAAAGGTTTTCTACTAATTGTCTAGTAATTCCTCAGCAAGAGCATGCTGTCAGTGATGCAGGACAGGAACATAGTAAATGGAAGAGTTGTTCTCATGCTGTAATTCTACTTGCTTCTCAGTGCTCTTTTATCTTTGTACACTTAACTTCGATTTTTTTCCCTTCATAAACACCAGGAGATGATCCGAAACAAATTATATACATAGATCCATAAGAGTGTTCACCTGTTGATCCTTGAAGGGATGTTCTCAGACGACATGATCACGACTGGGATATCTCTAAGAGACGACGATTCCTGCTTGAACAAACCAAGCATGCGTCTTCATTAGACCCTGCTCTCTTCAACAGATCATACACCAAGAAACACTAGAGGAGATAACATGGTTGATAATTACCTTGATCTTCTTGAGCAGATCATACCCTGTCATGCCAGGCATGCAGTAGTCCGTGATGATCAGGTTCACCGCGACATCCTGCTTGTTACCCACAAAGAACGAAGCAAAACCAAAACACATCATCAGAAACCTTTCGTCAGCTCAGACTAGCAGGAACAAGCAGAACAAACAGCTGCACAGGACGATCTGTTCATCTTCTCCTTACCAGCTGGTGCGCGTGGACAGAGACCGTGCTGGCGTCGTCGTCATGGATGCCCAAGAACTGCAGGGCTTTGCTCCCGGAGTCGACAGTGGTTACTGCAGAAACAGAGCCAAAAAACTCTCCATGAGGTCCGTTCAGGGCCGTCGATCGTCGTCCCAGCAACCAAAGCAAAGGAGGAGCGTGCGTGCGGAGGTGCAAGCAGGTGAGTAGGTTACTGATGAGTACCTTGGAAGGAGGAGGTCTTGAGGAGCCTCTCGATGAGCTTCCTGTCCGGGAGGCTGTCGTCCACGGCCAGGACATGGAACGGCGTCTCCGTGGCCACCACCGCCATGGCTGGCAGAAGCAAGCAAGAGGAGCAGGACGGCGAAGGAAGGAGGATGCCGCTATGAGCTAGCAGCAGCAGCAGCAGAGGCAGAGAGTAAGGTTTGCAGTAGAGGAAGGAAACTGAAGGTGAAGGGTGTGGGTGTGGTTGAGTTCACGTATATATATACACACACACAACTACACAAGGCAAGCACATGAAAGGATTCCAGGAGATATGAGGGAAAGCGAAGGAACAGAGAGGGTGGAAAAAGGGGGGAGGTGCGTGTGATGACCAAGAAAATCCCAGCGCATGGAAAAAGCAAGATCCCGGGCGGATTTGCTCCAAATCTTGCCTGGAATTGACTCCTTGCATCCACATCCATCCACGAATCCACGATAGGGTACAGAATCATAGAATAGAACAGAGAGACGGGGACGTCCGGGCCGGGGCAGGCAGCAGCAGCATCACGAGCCGGACCCTCTCCGAATCCTGAATTCTGGAGGAGCAGCAGCCGGAGCCTTTCGCAGGGTCCACCAGAGCACCACCATTTTCCTCGTGTTCCCTCGCCCTTTTCCTGCTGCCGCTGTCGCCGCGGGCGAGCGGTATCATCTACTGGATTCGTTCACTCACAACTCACTAGTTTTATGGGCTCTTGCTGTTGCTGACCGGAAAGGGTGAAAGATACGGATCGGTTTCTGTGATTTGGTGAATCGGCGGGAACTTGTGCATCGCATCGGCTTGTTGTTGCTGGGAATTCGTTGGGATTTGCTGCACTTTTGTGGCGGCTTGCTTGCTTGTTTATGAAGTACCAAATCCCAAAGGAGTAGGACACTAGCACTTGTGTAGAAAGTACACAGCCTTGTGCAACGCTATTCTGTTTGCTCGCGACAACTTGCTCTTATGTCGTCCGGTGATGGTAGTGTATGTAGTGGCAGTAAAGCCTGGCTGGTGATGTGGAGGTTGCAGAGTGACAGTGGTGCATGGTACTGATGTGGAGGTTGCAGAGTGGCACTGGTGTATTTTCCAGTGGCGAGAAGTGTGATTCGATACCGCGCGGCGCGTGTTAAGGTCCCGATCCAACCGTCTTGTGTTGATTTTAGTTGTTCTCTTTGTTGTTTGTTTTCGTTAATAATGCCATTGCTCCGAGCCTGAAAAGGACTAGTGTTGCTCTGCTAACTAGTCCTAAGTCTCCGGTAGAACTACTTCGAAAGCACCTTGTTTGGATCGATAGATGGGACCCGCATGGGGAAAAGTCGTCATGCCTCAACCAAGTTTTCTTCCTCCCGTGTACAGCCCCTCCGCCATCTCAAATTATAAGTCGTCCTCGATTTCATCTTGGTGGCTGGAGCAATATAACGGTTATGAAGAGAGAGAAGGCGAGAGCTTTAGAACCATCAATTCGATACAATGACGCTTAATATCATAAGTCTCCATCTTTAATCGTTGATGCCATTTTTTATAAATTAAAATAACTTGTAATTTGGATATCAGGTGCTTTTAGTGTCCGCTTTGGCTCGATTCTCGTGATATCGGATAAGCAAGGTCCCATCCCATCCCATCCCTTCCCTGATGCTCTTAGCGTATTTGGATCCAACCGCTGTCTTGTGTTGATTTTAGTTGTTCTCTTTGTTGTTTGTTTTCGTTAATAATGCCATTGCTTCGAGCCTGAAAAGGACTAGTGTTGCTCTGTTGTAATGCGTCGTCTAAGTGTAAGTGAGTAGCTTTCTACTCCCTCCATCTTAAATTATAAGTTATTTTATTTTTCTTAAAGAGTCGAAGCATCTCAAACTTTACCAAATTTATATAAATAAAATAATAACGTTTATGATACCAAATTAGTATCACTAGAGGTTTAGATATTCTTCATCAATTGTATTTTTATAGTAGATATTATAAGTCTTTGTAATTCTCTCTATAATTTTAGTCGAACTTCAGATGTTTTGATTTTTTAAGACAAAATAAAATGACTTGTAATTTGAAACTATCAGGTGCTTTTAGTGTCCGCTTTGGCTCGATTCTCGTGATATCGGATAAGCAAGCTCGGTCTGGGCGTCTGGCTGGTAGAGACGAAATGATACGCGATTTCCCTCGGCCTCGTGACTCGTCACGCCACGCCAACCAAGTCTCGACCCGACCTCGGTCTTGTTTAGATTGTAAATTTTGAACTAGGGTTCCTGACATCACAAGACGTATATATGATTGTTCTTTAGATTACAAATTTTTTCCGATCATAATATTAACTAGACTCAAAAGATTCATCTCACGATTTACAACTAAACTGTGTAATTAGATTATTTTTTTTTAAATATCCACATTTAATATCCCATCCCCATTTTCAATATATCGTCCAAATCGACTATCGGGGAAAATCTTTACTCGTGACTCGTGGAGATGATCTAAATAAGTCTCGACCCGACCTCCCTAAAAAAAAGATACTACAAGAGGCGATACGCTGCGATCGCGTTCGCGTTGCTCGGGATGCGACAGCGAGCGTGGGATCCGATCCGATTCCGATCGACGACGACGGGTCGGTTCCGTCAAGGTCAGTGGTCAGGTCCCGAATCCTCCACTGCGCAGTGCCCACTGCAGATCGCCGCGAAAGCCAGCGAGCGGCGTCTGGCGTCTCCGATCCATCCTCCACCTGCTGCGGGATTCCGCTTTGCTTCCCTTCCCCACTTGCGCCCACGCGTCCCCTCCGGTCCTGGGCCGCCTCATCTCTCTCTCTCTCTCTGGCCATGGCTTTCCTTTCCTTGAAGAGTACCTACCCGTCCTACCTGCAGTGCAGTGAGTGTGAGTCCTCGGCGCGCGCTACCTGCGCTGTTTCTACGTGGCCACAGCCCAGGCAGGCACGCCGCACGCCGGTAGCCGGCTCCGGCCTCCACACAAGTCCACTACACCTGCTGCTGGCCTGGTTATATGAAAATCAAGTGGCCTCTACGCAAGTACACCACGCTATAACAGTCCCGTAAGGTGGCCAAAACTAAGAGGGTGTTTGGCCCCTTAAATTTACGTCACATCGAATATTTAGATATTAATAAAGAGTATTAAATATAAATTAATTATAAAACTAATTATATAGATGAAGGCTAATTTGCGAGATGAATTTTTTAAGCCTAATTAATCTGTCATTAGCAAATGTTTACTGTAGCACCACGTTGTCAAATCATGAACTAATTAGACTTAAAAAATTCGTCTCGCAAATTAGTCGTAAGTTATGCAATTAGTTTCGTAATTAGTCTATATTTAATAGTTTATATATATGTCAAACATTCGATGTGATAGAAATTTTAAGATGGTGCTCAGGAACCAACAGGGCCTAAGGCACCTGATCGAAGCATTGCCGAGGCAGAATCGAGAAATATTCTCATTCTCACCCCACTCACCATGGCTCCCAGAGAAATACTTCATCCTTAGCATGGGTATTTTGCCAAAGCACGTTGAATCTTAGGGTCTATTTGATTGAGTTGTGGCTGTGGAAAAAAACTACTGTGGGCTGTAAAAAAACTGCTATTGGATGTCAGTTGTGAGAAAACTCAAAGTCGTTTGGCTGAAACAGCTGTGGACAAGCTGTTGTGAGCTGTTAGCTGTGTAAAATGTCTATAATACCCCTGTCTGCTTTAGACGATGTTTATATGCAAATATGTTTATATGCAAATTGGTTGTAAACTATTACGTTATTCATTGATTCACTGTAAATAACAATTTTAGAAAAGAGAAATTAATTTTGAAGCTCTGAACTTGGACCTGCATGCCAATTATGTACCAAATTTACCAAACTTTGAAGCTCTAGGTCTCCCAAATTGTTGAGAATTCGATCTCTGCCATTCAACCAAACTGGTAGAGTTATATACCAAGAACAAATTTGATTAGGATCGACTAAAATTTTTACATGCAAAATTCAGAGAAATTTGTCAAAGAACAGAGCTACTCCAATCAAACACAAGGCTCTGCTGAACTCGTTAGCTGGCTGCTCTGCTGGCCCGAAGAAACAGCGGCGCCGACGGGAACTGCACAGCGGGCGGGGATGGAGCTCCGTGGGTGGCCGGGGATAAGAGGAGGGCCATGGCCGGGGATGAGAGGAGGGGCTGAGGAGAGGCGCGGCTGGCCCCGGCAACCGGCGGCGGGGACACGCTGGCGGAGAATGGGAGCCACGGGGATCTGCTCGTCCGTCGAGATGCTCGGAGACGCCACCGCCAGGCTGCTTGTCCATCGAGCACACACCGGAGCCAGGGACGTCGGCGAGGAAGCGTCGTCGCCGAGTTGCTCGTCCACCGCGGACTCCTTTCTCGCTCAGATCCCAGGCGAGAGCGCGAGCAGGACGGGCGACCCTCATGGATCCCAGGCAGGACAGATCCAAGACAGGGCAGTGGAGGGCTGCGGTGGCCTGGGGGACGGCAATGAGTAGCCGACCTCGTGGCCCCGGGGAGCAGCGCCTGGGTGGAGGGCGGCGGCGCCTGGGGTGGAGGGCGCGCTTGGTGGAGGGTGGCAGCGCCTGGGGTGGAGAGCGCCTCGCGCTCGCCGGAGGAAGCCGCCTGGAGAGGAGCTCTCCGGAGGAAGCTCGCGCAACCCTAGCCGACAACGCCGGGACGAGCGGGCGCCGCGACTTCTCTGTCGGATGGGGAAGAAAGACGAACCGGTATTTTCCGCTGTCTCAGGAGACCCAATATCAAAATGGTCAATAACAGAATACCCATAGTCTTCCATTTTAGATGTAAGGAGATGTATAACCTAAATCTGAGTATCATCTCTTCTAAAGATCCATTTGTAGAAATGATTTTTTTTAGGTCTTGTTATTGGAAAAGACCAAAAATGGATATTGAACCATTTGCCTGTAGCGCTACCCAAACGTGGAATGGGTCTTGTATTTTGGGTAATGGTTGTTGGAGACAGTCTTAGCAGTGGTACTGCGGGTAATTTTTGCCAACTTGGGGAACGAGCCATAGCTCGGACGGTCGGTTCTCCCGACGCGGAAGCCGCCAGTCGTGCGTTCGAGTGCTGCTCGGCGCATGATTCCCACCGGGGTTTTT